CCTTTCACAAACCGAAGAGAGATAAAGTTAGTCCAGCAAGAACCCGATGTTTCATAAAGCTGAAAACATCTCCTATGCCCTGTGTATTTCGTAATGATCTTAGTGGCGCAATATTTGGCCACGAGTTTCTGTTTGCGTTTTGCGCCGAACAAAACGATCATTGATCGGATGAAATGCAAAAAAAATAATAAACATAGCATGCTGTAATAAAAAAGCGATGACCAACAAAACTTTGAGGTAGGAGGAAATTAAAACTCAACAGTTAACTCGAGAAATTTGCGCTCGTAAACTGAGAATTTCCACAGATGGACAAATGTTGGCGTACTAGCTTTAAAAGACGATTTTTAACTGCTAAAATCTCTCTGCTCTTGATACAAATCACACGTTTTTTTCAATGTTTACCACCATGTTGCAATGTTTTTATAGAGTGTTAAGCAACGAAGGAAAACGATATTGCTACGATCTCAGAGTTGATGATGTGTAAATCCTCTCAATTGTCGGTAAAAATTTCCTTTAATCGCTTGGTTTAAAAACATTGTTATTTTGTTTACTAATGTTAATGCTATAGCAACTGACTCGCGTGTCGCATTCCACATGCAAAATATCAGAAACGGTGTCCGAAAAAACCCGAAAAACCCATTTTTTTGAGGACGAAAAACACACTAAATTACTCATGATCTGTGCGGAGTCGTTGATTATCTGGGTAAAATTTTATTTTCGTGTTATGCGAGCGAGTTATAACACATTCATCGACGTGAAAAGAGTAGTATTGTGTTAACGACATTGACAATTTATGAACTTATATTGTGCACTTAAGGAGTTTGTCATGAAACAAAATTTGCCGGCATGGGTGTTCTAAATATCATGTTTGCACCCTTGAAATTACAAACAAATTAACAGATTTCTCCCTGCTCTTCAAGTAAATGCAGTCAAATAGAGGGCGCGTTGCTGATCGTTAGTTTTCAAGAAAGTTTGACATCAAATTGTAAGCTATCTTAACTTAAAAAGGAATTCTTTGAGGGGTGCAACTGTCGACCTAGGCGATATCATCCGGAAAGGAAAACTGGGAAAGAGTGTGATATTTCTCACAGAAGCTCAGAAAAGGAAAAAAAAAAATCGGAAATTGCATAATCCTAACAGCTTATACATACCATGGAAGTAATATCTAGCTGGTTCATCTTCAGAAACAAAAATTACAATGAAGACATGATTAATTCTGTAAGTCACTTTTAGCTCGAAATATATGGAGTAAATGCAGTTTTACTTTCGTTACTGTACACCACGTCCTCAATAAGCAACCGTTTGTCGCTTTAAATAATAATTCCATTCCAGTTACATCACCTTGAAAATAAAAGTAAACATAAATGCTATGTATTCTCTCGATCTTGAAATTACCTCCAGTTTAGTGGATATCTCTACCATTGTTGGGAAAATTTATTGATAACTCACAGCGCGCCGAAGTAATTTACTTAGAAAGAATTTAGCGCCGACTAAAAACACACGCTGACACGCGGGTAACCAAGCGTCGATAAGAGGCTCAAATCGACGGTTTTATCGAACAAAACACCAGCAAAACAAACCACTTGAAAGCAGGGGAGGCTGACAGATGATTGAACAAGAGTTTGCGTCCGGTAACTACGCCTATACAAGTTCATTGGCTGATAGTCTTGGGAAAGTTTGGAATGAGCGAGGTTTAGGTTGATTTAATAACTTTGAAAAAGGCTTCAATCAAGGGCAAACTTGAATGAGATGTGTACTATTAATATCATGCTATTAAGCACGGTTGGACACTTGCGCAAAAGATGACTTTATCACCCATGACAAAAACAAATGAGACATTTGGTCGAGAAGAAGAAGGGATAAGGTGGAAAATTATTAACTACACAATCAAACTATGTATCTAGTTGAAAGCTAAAACAACACTGACTTCCAGGGCAAATGCAGTCGGAATGATTATATTACAAAGCTCAGGATTCATATAAATGATATATCTCCCTATGATTTTAGTGGCAGTGTATGAGTACTTCTGCATACCTTAGAATACTCCGCAATCAATTAAAAATGTCAATACGTGGCCTCAGCGGCCTTTGCACAGCACGTAACATGAAAGATTGCTCGGCGGAGATTTACTTAGCTAAATTTGGCGCAACATTTACAAGCAAAATTCACGAAATGGGAAGGGAAGATGTAACATATTTAGACTGTGCTGTGCACATTTTCTAACAGTTGCTTTTTGGACTTGAGAATTTACGGATCAAACGAAGGTAATGAATATCAACCAAATAAATTAAAACAATAAATACGTATGTACTAATATATTATATCAAATATTTTCTGTAACTTATCAAAATCTCGGAATAGTTAACTCAGTGTCATGGGAATGTACAAAAAATGTGAATAAAAATAAAAGTAAAAAATGTGTTTGTTCTGATTTTAAATTTGTTTGACGAGTACTTACAAGACTCAGCAAGGTTTACAAGGAACAGAACACGCGAAACATTGACCTTTGATATGACTGGTTTAAAAAAAGTGAAGCAGAATCGCGAACGACTTGGTTACATAGGTGTTCGCAGTGATCAGCGGTTTGCATCAAAACCTGAGAGTCGCTGGAAGTTTTATTGAAATGTGGAAGAGCCCGTCACTGATTAATTGGGTGGGAGGGGGGGAGGGGTGGTGAGAAAAAAAGGGGTCAAGTTAGAGATGTACCTGTTAACGTCAAATCAAGCGCTAGTAAACAAGATCGACATTTAGTTTAAAATCTGGTCAGTGCTAATTATTCACTCGTTATACTTATCACTTTGTTCCAGCGCTGCAGCACATTTCTCTCAATCTAAGCTGACTTTCGCAGCTCGACTTGTGAATAAATCCGAGAGAAATAAAAATTAGCGCTATTTGGATCACCCATAGCAGGTGACCTAAACTGTCACTAGGAGAAAAAAAAGATACTCTTGCACCTCCTTTTTAAGCAATCAGACGCAAAATCAAAATCAGTCGGGACCTGATCCCACAAGTCTTTCCACGCTTTAAACAGCTTTTTGTTTGTTTTTACTCCGCGTCCTGACGAACCCCTCGAGGTATTTCGCTTCACTCGGATCAACCTTTGTGCTAACGTTATATTTGATCGACGAAACTCATGTGAAATGCCCTCTGACTTGCATCTAACTTCTCCTTAAAATACCACCCCTGAATCACCAATAAGGTCAGGAGAATAAAGAAAATGAACACCAACTAAGAAAACTCTTGATAATTAAGCAAATTCTCCTTCGGATAGACAGACCAACTGATAAACAGCCAGACAGAGAGACAGACCAATTGTCAGATATACTGTCAGACTAACAGATAAATAGCCAGACAGAAAGACGGACTGAAAGACCATCTGAAAGACGGCCTGACAGACCCTCTGAAAGACGGCCTGACAGACCATCTGCAAGACGGACTGACAGACCATCTGAAAGACGGACTGACAGACCATCTGAAAGACGGCCTGACAGACTATCTGAAAGACGGCCTGACCGGCCATCTGAAAGACGGACTGACAGGCCATCTGAAAGACGGACTGACAGACCATCTGAAAGACGGACTGAAGCTAAAATAATTCAAAGATGGAAGAACGAACGAGCAAACAGAAAGACGTCGAAACAAAGGCACCTAACCAAAGTCAGACAGATCTTCAGTCGAAAGACCAGCATTACAAAATGTAGAGATAAGCATGTTAGAATATGCACACTAATATCAGGGTGATGCAAAGGGTTAACTGTCAAAATGACCTGGTAGGGAGTCGAACCCAGACTCATCGCCGTGAAGGCCAGAGCGCAAATCATTACGCGACGGTGCTCTATCACCAGATACCCAGAGATTAAATAAAATCCAAAGACATTTCATTCTTGCATGGATCATTTAATGATCAGCGCTACACCATCACGTATCATTCAAATTCACCTACGGAGACTATAGACTGTCCTCTATGGACAATTAAATAAAACAGGATCCCTTTCAGTACCTGAACAACTGCGAACCCACCCCTCCCCTAACCCATCATTCACCCTAATTTGGTGTCAGTTGACTGTTGTTGTTAGGGAAGGGGTAGGTAAGTACGCATTTCCTCAGATAACTGACATTGATTCACGGAATTGATAGCGATTGTGATGCCACATCAATATAAATTAAATACTGTTAAATATAACTGATGTACGATAATCGAGCCTTTCTCATTTAAGAGACGTGATAAAAAGTTGGAGGGAAAAAAAGAACGCTCGAGGCTTAAATAACATGAGGGGCTATTCAACTCTTTCATTCCCTAAAGTGATCATAGAGAAAATTCTCCCAAAAATTAACTTACCTTTTCGAACTAAAAGGTAGTGAAAAGATAGGATAATATCCACAAGGAGTTCTTGTTTAAACTAAATTAAATCCTCAAACCTAAAATTATGAGAAATGTATAGTTTACAATACAGAGAATTGATCTTTCGATCTTGCAAATGAAAGAGCTGAAAACTCAAGATGGGGAAACATGTTCAAGAGTAGAACACCTGCTTAAATAAATTAAATTGCCTAACTTAACAAAACTACTCAAAAAACTTTATCACTTTGCTGACTAGAAGCGTCTGAATACTGCATTATTTTACTCTTATCTTCTCCAGAAAGTGTTTCTTTGGAACGAAAAAAAAAGTTGAATTTGTTGCTATGCCTACAGACCTAAAAAAAATGGGATGGCAAAAGCCTTTCACCACACGTTGGCCCGCCTAACTCCGGACATAAGGGGTGAAACAATCTGAAATTTTACCTCTCCATGGGGAGGGAAGTGGAGGCAGTATAGTAATAGTATAAAGAGG